TAATTAAATTCTTTGATATGAATTATTGTAATCAATACAATAATATGTCATTCATTGAAATAATTATTGCTTTTTCTTTTTGACGAATTTTTTTTTCAATGCTGCATATACTTTTTATTTTAAATGAGAGAATAACAGCAACATCACACAAGGAACATGTGCACTGGGGTAATAATAAAATTTCATGAACATATATGTAATATATGCAGTTTGAAGGATTCATCTTCTTCTACCTTTTCTATTTCTTTTCCTTTAACAATTGATGTAAATGAAAGAATAATCATTGTTATAACGGTTGTATTTTTTTCCGGTACATTTAGTTTATTTTTTTATCGTTAGTTCAATTGAAAATGATTGTATATTTTTTCAATATATTAAATTTGTAAAAGAAAAAAATAAAAGAAAGCAAAATCTAGACCAAATCACCTACTGTGTACATGTGCATTCTTATACAATTTTCAAGATTTCTATTTCTATAGGTAAAAATAAAAAATATTCTAATTTCTAATAACCTTTCACTGAATATGCTAATCATAATGATGGTCTTATTTTTTACTATATAAGGTTTCAACAAACAATTTTTTTAATTATTATTTAAAAGTAACTAGAACGAATAAATTATATTTATTCTCACCATTTTGAATTTTACCATCACTATTACTTCGTAATATTTTATGAAGAATATTTTGTTTGCGTTGAATAAGTGCTGAACAATTATTAGGCATTTGTTTTTCGATAAATATTAAATCTTATTTTGTTAATGTTTTTATTATTTGTTTTTTTGTGAATTTTCAATTGGAGAAAAGCAATTAATTGATTGAATAGATAAGTATGAGTATTAACATAAATGATGATGAAAAAAAACGATAACAAACAAACGAAATGAATAAGTTCGATGTAGTAGTTGGCACCTTTGTGTAATGATTATTTTAAAGAAAGACAGGCAGTAACGGCAACAACACGACACGTACGTACGTATTTTCTCTCAGAACAATTGAAGAGAGACAGGGAGAAAAAAATTTGCATTCTCTCGTCTCACTCAAAGTCAAACATCTCCGTCGATACGTTGTCGTGTGTCGTTCGTTCGCTTGATTCTCCATCTCTCTCTCTCCGTCTACTTCTCACGCTCTTCCATCAAATACATCTGATCTGATTTTTGTACTTCTATCTACGTGTAATTCTTTTAACTTTTTTTTTTCTTCATTGTTTACAATAGCAAGAAAAATATAAAAAAAGACACAAATTCGAGTGCTTGGCTGATTGATTGATTGATTGATTAATGGATTTTGAGCTCATATTATAATACTGATAGAAAGAGGTTTTGAGAACTTGTTGAGTAGAAAAAATAACATGAATCGATTCGTACTTTTTCTTTTGTAACGTTTTCGTTGACGAATCATGTCCTGTAGATGAAGAAAAGAAAGAAGTGAAGAGGCGATGAAATTGTTAATTGATCAAATGTATGATATGTTATTCGAATGACAAATGTGAAAGGTAACATGGTCAAATGAAGTATGTCAATGTTACACTCTCTAGAAAAAAAAAAACAAACTGATTTTTATATATGGAATTGAACAACTTTGACAGTATAGTTACTTAACTTAAACATAAACAAAAATTGAAAGAAAGTAATTGAGATTTTTTTTTTCTCAATGTCGAGTTATTCTACAGCTGTCGTTCATTTTTACCCTAATTGATAGAAACATTCATTTTATGAATGTATTATTGATAGGCAGGTGAATTTAATTAGTGACAAATATATTATAAATATATCACACTCTATAAGCAATAATGTACCAGCTTGATACATATTCGACCTATAAATATTACGTTGTTGTTACTATTGATTATTTCAAATGATGTCTCGATCTCTATCGTCACCACCACCTCGTTTCACTCTTCCACCTCCACCAATGCCACCATCAGATATATTTGATCGAAAAATGGTATCTCAATTAACTTGTTCGTCAATTCAACAACAATATCAACAAACAATGACTCATTCTCGTTTGATTTTATTTACAAGTGCAAGTGTCATTACTGCTATTGTTCTATTTATAATAACACTTATTTGGTTGTTATCATCTCGCAAGCAAAAACAATCATATAATAATCATAATTTAAAATCAACAAAACCACCTACACCAATCAATTCAATGTTTGATTTATCAACATGTAGTAGTCGTTCTTATGAAACTATATCATCTAATCATACTGGTGTTTATCTTGAATCTGTTGATACATCGGCTACAACTTGTTCAATCGATACAACCGGTGTAATCTGTATTGAATGTAATCAACAGCATGGTTTTCAACCTGCACCTTACTATCATATTTTTCGTGTACCTGATGTAGTACCGAACTAAGATCAGATCAACTTATTTTTTTTTTGTATATTATAAATTAGAACAGTAATTATTTTTGATTATGATAAATAAATTAAACTTGTTTGTTCAGTTCAATATAAGTTTAACTTCTAAGAATAAAAGAATTGATGAAGATCTTATGTATTACTAAATTAGAAACAATCTCTCAAGTAATAGTGTATTTTATGAAATGAATCATTAAGGATTAACAATTATGATAATTGACATGATATTACTATAAGAAAAAAAAAGCTCAAACAATTTATTGAACTCAATCATTTTTCTTTAGTTAGCTTGTAATAAACTTGAATTATGTATAATTTGCATTGGATTATGTTCTTTAATAAAGTTGTCAATTAATAAGAGTTTGTGAAGAACTTTTCTCTTTTTATTTTCATAAATTTAAAACAATCTAAGTATTATGTAACAGAGATTTCATTGCAAAATTACCGAAAATTTTCAATGAAAAGAAAATCTAATATTAGATTAATTTATTTTTAAATACATGTCGAACAAGTATACGTTTATTCGTTAGAACTCATTTTCATAATCGATTTGTTTTCATCAACATATAATATGTATGATGTATAGTATATTCACCTGCGTAAATATGGATCAGTAATACACATATACAGTTAATATGAAATTGATTCTAAATGAAAAGTTAATTTCATATTGTTGTTGTTGTTCTATTGAATAGCTTTCGTTTAGTTCTTATACATGTTATCGAGCAAAAAAAACATAGAGTGAAGAAAGAAATATAAAGATCGAATAAATATTATTCATGATTCTGGCCATTAGTTATTAACAAGAAAAAGTATTTTTGTTTCTTATGAAAGTGTGCCTATATCTACAATTAAGATGAATTCAAATTTCTTAAATTGGGATAAACGACAACTTTTATTTATGTTTATTTTAACCATTCGATTATACACTGAAGTACAATCATCGAATAGCAATAATTCTATTGAAAACTTACCATTAAATTCAAATTCTAGTAAGTTGACAGATTCAACAACTCATTTCATAAATATTGTCTAGGAGGTCTTCTAATGCGATTTTCATGAAGAATTTTTCAAAATTTTTGAAAAAAAATTATTTTACATTTTGTATTACTGTTTTCGCAAAAATTACTTTTTTAAACGAGTGCTTATGAGATTATATAATCATGAATCGTCATGTGCTTATGTGACGTTTCTCTTGTGGGTGACTTGTTCTATAAAACACGACATAAAAGATCTGTTGAAATATACACGGACGAAATTTGGATCCACTGCCTCTGTAGTCCTCCTAAACATCATGATAGATACCCTAAAACATCATCGAAAATCGTGGTAGACACAGAACATTTCTCCCTATCCGCTACAGACTGCAGTAGATTTTGTTGAATTATGATCAAAGACCGAATAGTACTAGTATTCTATCAGAATATATAAACTATTTCCTCTTTGCAATTCTAGAGGATTAAGAAAAGAATGATGATCCAATGTGTTATAAAATAAATAGAATAAAACAATTTTCATATGATTATTAACAACAGCTACATTGTTTTTCAAATTTGACTCTCTTAAAGATTTCGCTAGCAGCTTTTTCTGGTATCATCGAGACAACGCTTATTCGGTTAAATTTCTATGACCGTCTTAAGTTTCGTTTTTTGAATATACGTTAATATTTACCGAAGGACCCAGAAATCTGTTAAAGGCTTTGAAAGCATAGAGATGTACATATGTGTACCAAAAAAAACTACAAGCTTTAGATCTGAAAAACTCAACAGAAATCTGTGTAAAAAGTAGATTATATGAGTGGCATATAGTGTACTTCCCAGCGAATCGGATCCCTATTCATACTCACGGAAATCATGCATAAAATTCTAATTAAATTAAAGTGATAATTATAAGTTATTACGCCAAATTTGGATAGTATTTTTAACGAGAATTTTATAGACTCCTATTAGTAAACGTAGTTATTTTGATGGCTTTGCACAAGCACGAATTATTGCAACGAAAGAATCGGTAAACAGTCGAAAAGTCCCCAATGAGCACATGAAGTTTAATGTTTGAACTTATTGCTCAACTCTTTTTTATTGAGACTAGTATAATCTCGTTTTAGAGTAACAAAAAAAATATTGACATGTAGAGAAGACAGTGTTCAAAAAGAAGCATGCAATATCACGCTTCTCCCAGTTCCCCTCAACCGGATAGAAAGTATTTCCCAATCATCGGACGAGGCTGAAAACCTTTTGCGGGCATAGTTAGATTCAAAAACAGAAAAAAATTCAGAAAAAAGTTTTTGAAAATTTTTCTTGGTGGATTAAAAAACCCGGGTCTTCTAATATGGGAGTCTTCTAGTATTGGGGGGGGGGGTCTTCAATTATGAGGAGGGTTTACAACAACAACTGTTACTTCCTTATCAAATTCTCCCAGTTCTACTGAAACTGCAAATATATCTACTAATTCAACTATCGAGAATCTTAATGGAGCATCTATTTACAGTACATATGTAGTAGATAATGTTTTAAACACAATCAATACAACAATATCGTCTAAAGATTTGACAAAGATAATTAGCCTAACAACGACTTTATATAGTACGTCTAACGCTAGTTCTGTAAAGGTGAATGAATCTTTTCAAGAAATGACAAATGTATCTAAACCAACTGTAGTGGTACCAATTCAAACAGTTATTAATAATAATACGGAATCATCCATGCATTCAAATGATCTTGTCTATAATTTGTCATTAGTTTCAAACGATACTATCCATTCATTCGATTCTATTAGCTTTGATCTTTTAGAAAATTCAACAGCAACCATAGAAACAACGACTACAATATCAATTGCAAATGGTAACGGTAGTAAAAGCTCATTTCAGAATAATACTACATCAAATATATTAATTTCAACATTAATTAATTTAACTAACAGTAATCAGCTAAATCAACTGAACAAATCTTCATTAATAAATAATACAGCTTCATTAAACTCATCTGCTATTGTTAATACTAATATAACTAATACGCTTTCAATTACAAATGCAAGTATTACTGTGTAGCCTGTGAGAAATTTTTCTATGCCCATCACGAATACTGCCGAGATCAGTAATTCTTCAAAAAATACTACGGTTGAAAACTTTGATACTGCTATGTTACCATTCATGAACTCTACTGATAATGAAATACTTAACAGAAGTAATTCATCTAATGTAACTTTAGTTATTCTTTCACCAATAGTCAATATCATGATATCAAACTCCACATATCAAAGTTTGTTGCCTTCTGCCTAAGGGTGCAACATATCCTATTTTTCTACATAAAGATTGTAAATTTTCGGTAGGAAGACCGATCAAATCCAGCCAAATCTTTGTGTCAATTATAACCAGTTTTATTTGCTCTACTCGATGATGGTGTAAAATGACCAAATCTAACCAAGAAACTTCTAAGATTTGGTCATTTTACACCATTATCGAGTAGAGCAAATAAAACTGGTTATAATCGATACAAAGATTTGGTTGGATTTGGTCGGTCTTCATACCGAAAATTTACAATCTTTATGTAGAAAAATAGGATTTGTTGCACCCCTACTTCTGCCAATGATACCCTAACGCAAACATCATTCACTACTATACGCACAGCTTCATTTCCTGTGATGAGTCAGGGAATGGCTTCTAACATATCATTAACACCGGCTGCCTCAGAACTTTCGAATCCAAATCTAACATTATCCATTAATATTTCAGAGTCTGTCTCTCCTATCATGTCGGAACTGACAGAATTATCTTTATTGACGACAAATCTTTCGAATTCAAACTTATCGTCCTTCTCAAATGTAACAGATACGCATATATTAGTTGCTTCGCTTGATACTGAGTCAGCACCAGAGACTATTCAACAAACTGACCATACACTTCGAACAATTTTGTCTGCATTGACATTTGCGAAAGAAAATTTAGAATTTACATCGAATGATACACAAACGAAACTCTCCACCGACTCAATAATTAGAGCAGAACTGCAAAACGTAACTGGAAGAACTGATGATACACTTGTGTCTATACCAGTACCATCGGATGAACTCAACGTCGCTGTAGTGTCTGAACCGAATCTTTCTCAATCGAGCGCGGAGCAAGATGTATTTGCCGCAGAACCAACACTCTCTTTTATTCAGCAAACATTCAATACAACTTTTCCGACGAATAATATGCCAAAAGATCTTAATCAGAGTGTACCATCTTTCTTCGATTTTATGACTACACAACCTATTGAAAATCTTTCATCTGAAACCAATGTGGATCAAACTTTGTCACAACCTTTGAATAGTACACAAGGAACTTTGCCGCTTGATTCATTGGTAACTACAGTACCACTTGAGACAAGCCAGCCAATATCTGATACTCTTTCGCTTATCACACTATTGACCAATATTTCTAATGAAAGTTTACCACAACTTTTTAACAACACGCAAGAAGCTTTTCCACTCGATTCGGTGCCGACTGAACTACCATCTGCCACATTGCAGCCTACACTTGATACTCTTCCACCAATTCTACCATCCACAAATCTTTCAAATGAAAGTTCGCCGGAAACTTTGAATGTTACACAAGAAACCTTACCTCTCGATTCATTACCGCCTGAAATATCACCTGAAACAATCTGGCCAACACCTGGTACTCAGATACCCATCACCTTATTGACAAATATTTCAAGTGAAAGTTTACCACAACTTTTGAACAACACGCAAGAAGCTTTTCCATTCGATTCAATAGCGACTGAATTACCATTTGCTACAATGCAGCCAACGGTTGATACTATTCCATCAATCACACCATTCACAAATCTTTCAAATCAAAATTCACCAGAAGCTTTGGATACTACTCAAGAAACCTTACCTCTCGATTCATTACCGACTAGGCTATCGACTGTCACAATCGAGCAAACACTTGACACTTTTCTGCCCATCACACTATTAGGAAATCTTTCAGATCAGAGTTCATCAGCTTTTTTGAATGGTTCAGAAGAAGGAGTATCGTTTGATTCATTACCGACAGGAATAGCAACGGCTACGATGCATTCAACACCTATTATGCTTGAGTCTGTTATGCCACCGAGTAATATTTCAAATGAAACTTCACTAGAAGTTTCAGCTAGTACGGAAGGAGCAGCTTCTGCTGGTTCTTTATGGTCTAGTTCATCATCTACAACGATTCCTGATACAGCAGAGTCTTTTCCTTTAGTAACACCATCGACAAATGTTTCAGGTGAAACTTTAGTGGGACTTTCCAATAGTACACAACTCGGTTCATCTTCTGAATTGTTGGCAACTAACTTACCTACTGGTATAGGTGAAAATGTTACTCATATTCTTGATCTTACCGCAACATCGTCGTCGCTTACAAACACAACTACATCGCCTCCCATGAGTAACTCGGAAATATTTTTTGGTTCTGTCTCGTTATCGAGTGAAGTACCTTCATTCACAATCGAGACAATAATCGATACTGTTCAATCTTCTCAAGTTCCTTTAGGAGGTTCAAGCGAACCCATGTCGTTAACTTCAAACGATAGTGACGTGAATACTTCGTCCATGTCGTTCCCTACGGAAGAAAAGCATTTTACAACACTACATACCGTTGAAACAGTATCATTAGTATCTTCTTCAATGGAACCGAATCAAAATGTTTCTGCATTGCCTATTGATATTCAAACCAGTTCTTCTAATCAGTCAGTACCTACGCTAGTATCAGTTGTTACAGAACAGGAAACGTGGGCTACACTTGCAACAACACCAATGCCATCTTTTCCTTTGAATGAAAGTTTGCCATTATCGATAAATGTTACAACAACGAACATTCTTCCTATTTCAGAGACCACAGAAGTAGCTTCAGGTACAGTAGAACAGACTGATAATACTCTCGAACCGATCATAACATCATTAATATCTCCAAATGAAACTATGCCATCTTCATTCAATGAAACACAAACAAATATGCCATCTGGTTCAATGTTTACCACATCATCTTTTATTACCATAGAGAATTCTATCAATACTTTTTCTTCAGAACAGATTTCGGCTAGTGTTCCTAACCAAAGTGAATCGGTATTACTAACAACTGTAAAAAGTAATGAAGTAGATAGCTCTTCTGCGTCACAGCCTATGATATCCTCTACTATAACACTGGAACAGACTACCAACAATCTGTCAGTAACACAATCATCATTGACTCTTCAGAATGAAAGTTTGCCGTCATCTTCAATGGACGAAACGACACAAGCACCAATGTCTACTGAATCACTACTCTCAACATTAACAGAAACTAAGTCTGTTGGAACTGCCAACATTAACAATGGTGTTGATACGATTGAAAGTTCCAGTATAACGGTTCAAGTAACAGCTTCTACTCCATTGCCTACGTTGTCACTTCTTACTATACTAATGTCTTCACCGTTGTCAGAGTCGACAGTTTTTTCAAACATTAACGATAATACTATGGGCGAAAGTACAATGGGCTCGGCAGAAACTAACTTTCGGACCGTATCAAGTACGACACTTTTCCCATCAGAAGAGCTTACTGTTCCAAATCAATATTCAACAAAACCACATACTTCAAATTTGCTACTTTTATTAACTACGCTTATCAGTCATTCTGAAGTTACTACATCATCCGTTCTGACAATAAATTCAATGCCGACATCTGTTACAGAACCCACTAGTTTTAGTCAGTCGTTGTCTGACTATTCTACTGCTGTCTCATCTAGCATATCTATACCAATATCGTCGATTTCGAATACAAATCCTGCTGTTAATAATAGAGATTCTACATTTGAAACAAATATCGATACGATGAATTCTATATCGTCGTCTCAACAAGTATCTGAGTCATTAGAGACAACTTTTACCGTCACTAATTCAATGCCACTTAAAACTATGTCAACGATAATATCTTCAATACAATCAAGCTCAGTTACGCCATCAACGTTAGCAAACACTCTTTCTAATGATGTCACTTCAGTTCCGAGTGAAACGTTCACAAATCCTGTTAGTTCATTTTCTTCGATTTCAATCGACAATGGACAAAATACGATGAATACTCTTTCAATATCCAATACTCATATGAGTCCAACTAGTTCTACACCGATCATATCAAGTTCATTTGAAACTCAAACCATATCTAACCCTTTGCCTTCATTAAACAGTATTAGTTATTTATCTTCAACATCTTCACCTAACATAAACGATACAGCAAGTACCGAAAGTCCATTGCCATCAACTGTTAATACAATGTTTTTGACTTTAATAAGTACAAATACACCACCATCGCACACTTCCATTCCATCTTCGATGGCAAATCAAACGATATCGACAACAACAATAACAAACTATGACACGACTTTTCTTTCTTTATTATTGACAACATCTGGTTTAGCAATATCTAATGAGACATTAGCAACACGAAATACGATTTCAAGTATTCCATCTACAACACAAATAAATTCTAATACAACTAATGCTATACGTGAATAGAACAATAAAATTTTTATAAAATATTTTTCTGACTATTATTTTTCTTAATAGCTTCTAGTGATTGTGTTTTTCCATTTCGTTATCTTGGTCAATGGTATGAAAGATGTATAAGTGATATTCTCAATGATAGTTGGTGTTCATTAACAGTAGATTTTGATCGAGATCAACAGTGGAAATATTGTCGAGGTAAATAAAATAAACAATGCATATAATAAAAAAAATTATTTCTTTAATAAATACATTTTCTACATATCTTTTAGCACCTCGTGTTAAGACTATTGGTGGTACAGGAAATGGAAGTGACTGTGTCTTTCCATATGTTTATCAAGGCACATCATTTTCAACATGTATTTATCGTACAGAAACGATGGGTACAACAAAATCGTTTTCATTATTTTGTTCAGTTACATCTAATCTTGATCAACATGGATTATGGGGATATTGTTTAGGTATAACTCTTTATGTTGTTTTGTGCTTCTAACATATTCTTTTGATTGAATGCAAAACTATAGATTATGACTCATGCTACTTTCCATTTATTTACAATGGTAATACCTATTCAGATTGTATCAGTGGACCGCAATCAGCTCGTTGGTGTTCGACAACAGCTAAGTAGGTCTATTTTTTTATTTATATCCTTCTGAAAAATAATTTTTACTATTTCTAGTTTTGATCGTAATCGAATGTGGACTAACTGTCCTGGTATGTTATAATTCTAAAAATCTAATTGTTGTTTCAATAATCGTCTATTCGATTAGATTGAATTAGTTGCATAGATAATTATAGTTCATTAAGAACTAGATGATTGTGCATTATTAGTTTTTGTCATTGATGTATTAGAACTAATATTATGTTTCATTGATTTGGATTTATTTAGAACAGCACTACGTGTTGATGATGCAGAAGCCTTGTTTGTTTTTACGACTGATTTTTTCTTTGATTCCGATTTATTTATTTTGCCATTCTTCTTTGAACTTTTTTCTGTACCAATAAAAGTACGTGTAGCTGTGTATCGTGGATCATTCGATTCATTGGGTCCTGGTTTATAACCATTACATCTAGTTTTTGTCCAATCAATACATTTATTTTAATCAAAATCACTATTAAAATAAATATAAGGAAACAAAAAAAAAGAATTAAAAAATCTAATCTATTTTATTCATTAAGAATCTTACCAACGACTGTTTTCAGTTGACATCGATTCAATAAGAAATAGTAAAGAAAAAAAAATACTGAAGACACACGAAATGAATAGTTTCGATTAAATGTGTCGTTTTTTTTTATGCTAGAAAAGAGCGCTTTATTGTGTAGTGTTTTTTATATTTTTTCTTAAATATTTCAGTTACCTGTGATGGCTATCCACAACAAGATGAAAATTCTGTCGGTTTTCAACTACTTTTAGAACAACGACCATGTATATTTAAACAATCAATTGCTCGCGATACAGGTCTTATTCTTAAATATTATGCATTACCAACATGTGAATTAGAACCGTTATGTCGTGATACTTATGTTCCATTGTTTAAGCAAATAATATGTCAAGAAGATGGACGATATAATTATCCAAGAACAATTTGTTTACCAACTAAATAAAATTTCATATACTGAAATTTATTTATGTGCTTGCATAACTTTTTCTGTGTACGTTATTTTTCTGGAATGCGCTGGCCGATTGAATAATGCAGTGTTCGTTTCTTATATATTATTAAAATTTAAATTTAAATAAAGTAATAAACAATCACTGTTTGATGAAACCTTTTTGACGTATTTTTTAATAATAGAACACGTCCGACAATCGATAGGAAAAAGAAAAGTCATCACTCTTTCATTTTTTTTTGTAATTTTTCATTGGCTACTAATAAGTAAATACGGATTGTGTTACATAGAAACTCATTCTACTCTTCTTTCTGTGTATTATAGCATTCAATTGTAATCATACATAAAATTAATACTTTTTGTTAGTAATTTATTCGAATTGATTTGATATGACGGATCGTTCGAGTCGAGATGTTGAATACGTTGTTATACCGAGTCGAAAACCAAAGATAACACCGCGTTATTATTATTACGATGATGATAATGATGATGATAATGATTTACAACTACTCACAACTAGCAGAAGAATAGGTCGAACAAAACCCAATGAAGAACAACGAACAAAATATGTCGAAATGAATAACCTTGAGTCTGAAGATCGGCGACAAAATGAAACTGAACTCAACGATGTGTGTATTTTTGTTTCATCTTTTTTTTTTTTTAATTAGTTTTTTGCCAACACTCAGCCAAAGAAAAAAAAAGGATAACAGTCATATAATGTTTGTTTTGTTTTTGTACATAGCATCGAATAAAAATACGTAATACACATGATGGTGAGCAAATCATACTTGATGAAGATGATAATATTATCAAAATAATTCGAAATACACGAACACCAACTCCACCAACAGTTGAAAATCGACGACTCAGAATTCGTCGTCATGAACCTCGAACAGTTTATTATGAAACTCCAGATGGTCATTTAATAGCACGTCCACCAAAAAATTATGATTTAGTCAAAAAGAAAAGTGAATATGTTTATCTTGCTGATGAACCAACAAAAGTTTTACGAAAAGTAATTATCAAGCCTATGATCAATGATTATGAGACTATTTATGAAAAAGATAGACACAAAAAACATTCACCACAAAAAATTATGATGCGAAAACCTGTTAATGAAATACCAGTTGAGACTGATAATGATCATGAACAAAAACAACAACCACAATATATGCAAGTTGTACGACGACGAGCCGTACCAAAAGAAGTAATACCAAAGAAAGAATCACCAACAAAATATGTCATAATTAGAAAAAAACTTCATTCTGAACCAGTGTATGAAACATCATCACCTATTCCAGCAGTTACAACTAATCGTCGTATTGTTTTTGAAGAACCAATAAAAAAAACATCAACTAAATATGTCTATGCAACGAATGGCAAATATTACAAATGATTTTTAAATAGACGTACAAATGTTTCTGATTTTTTTTTTCTTTTAATAAAACATATAGAAACAAAAATGATATTCATGCTAATGATCAATTACTAAAAATACAAGAGGAAAAAATTATTAGTTTTCTTATTTTTAATGATTTCAATTTAAACTTACTAAACAGTTGTATAAGGTGGAAGTGTATATTGTTCATAAGCAAATTTATCATATGTATAACGTAAATCACGTAGGAGACTAATTTCACCTATTTCTAGTTCAAATGGTCCATCAGCAGCATCAATAACAGATATTGACATTTGTGTACATGTAAGCGGTTGAAAAGCATATTGTTTATCACTAATACGTCCCATATTATTACGAAAAAATTGTGCAAATGGAATTTTAGCTGTTGACCAATAAGGACCACCACGTGTATATAAGATCATTGAATACATATCAGACTACATAAATAAATATCAAATATTTTAAAAGCGTTTTTTTTTTGTTTATTTTTTAAAATTTTTTAACTAACCCAATGATGATGATCGTGATCAGGTGTATGAAATCGTATTTCATAAAATCGTCCATCACCTCGAATACGTAAAAGAATATGAGTAAAATTAGTCCAACCTTTTTGATGAGCTGGCATAAGAAATGTTCCTCTTAAACGTTCAGAAAACATAATAGCAAAACCACTCTGATTATATAATGTATTTTGATTAACCATTTTCGATGATATATTACCACGAAATAGAACTGATCCATGTCCACTTGGTACAAGTTCAGCTGTTGATTCACCAACACCTTCATCAAGATCTGTTCGTACAGTCCATTTTTTAATTTCTTCATTACTAGCAAAATCATGAATTATAACATAATCATTATGAAAAAATTCATGTCTAAAAATAAAAATCAATTGTTTGTTATTAGAAATATATAAGGTGTCAGCAATCTCGCAATTTGAAAAAAAAAAAATCTTCGTTTTTTTTTTGTGTTCTTATGCCATGATTGGATAAAACTCGTTAATTTACTTCTAAAAAGGTTATTTTTCATATATGCAAACGATGTACTTGTAGTTAAAATGAGGGAAATTTGGCATTTAGTTTAAATTATTAAGCATGCTATTGAATCCAAATTTTTGTGTTGATTCTAAACATGATACTGGTTTCATTTGGGACTGAAGACCTAATGATAAAAATCTGTGAATACAAATTTGTATTTATTATATTTTGTCTTCATATCGAAAGCATCGATCTTGTGCACAATTGAACAACATTTTTCAAAATATATATATGTGGTTGTGTTATGTGAAAAATAACGTTTTCGAAGGGAACTCGGTGAGCTCTGTTCAATCATAACATAAGAACATCAACAAAATTTACTCTAAGTTCGAAATTGTTGACACCATGTATGTATATAAAAAGCTTTTCATAAGTATTGGCCCCATTTAATTTTTTTTTATTATCTTTGCTGTATTTGAAAGTTAATAGGAGTTGCCAATACATTTTTGAAGACTAGCATCTAAGCTATAATTCAAGATAAATTGCATTCAATTTGCATCAATTCTAAGAAAATACCCATTAATAAAGAGTTTTATTCAATTTTTTAATGTCAAAGTTAGGAAAAATAGCAGTTATTCACTCGCTGTGAGTCACATTTGTTGTTCTATTCTTGTTATACGCTATATCCATGAGAGAAAACTTATTTCCGCATAAATATAGGAGACAACAGCACCATAATCTTATGCTTTAACTAGAGGAACAAAAGTTAGAGACTAGGTGGTTAATCAATATGTGTCACCAGAAATTAACTGCATGAAAAATAGACACGAAGCGAGTCACATTGACTCTATGACTTGCTGAATGACACTAAGAACTGAAAAATTCTATTCAATTATTTTACACGAGAAAAATGAATGATCCAATTTTCTCTCATATGTTTAGCATGCTTTAACAACGGAACGACAAAAGTAACTTGTAATGAGTGAACGATATGCTGTTATTTTGCAATCTTCATTATATTCTCATCTTAACATAAGACGAATAACGATTAGATTAATTCATTTGTGATACTCTGATATTTTCAATACAAACTTCTATTTCAATATCTTTCATATTTAAAAATGTTGATATTCAAGATAGAAAAAAAAAGAACTTAATTATATTTTTTTACTAATGCAATACTTTCTTAAGGTTAAAGCAAATTTATTGCAGTTTCTGTTGAATAATAGCTTGAATACTATTCTTCAAAAAATTTATCATCAATGACTATTCACGTTTAAATGTAGCAAAGAGAAAATAAAAAATGGGGCCGATACGTATGTAATATCCTTTATTTGAATACCTTCTATCCCATGGTTGTACTTCTTTCCACCATTTATTCCATTCAGGCAAAAGGGATTCTTTTAATAAACGCATTAATTGACCATCACGAATAATTTGTGTAAGACTTTTTTGAAGACGTCGACGTTTTTTTGTTGCTAATGCTTTACTTGGTGTTCCATATAATTCTCGCTCGACATTAGCCCGCCAAAACATAAATGTTCGTTGTGATTGTGATAGACATGATGAAGAAGACAAAATTTGTGAATTGTTATTAGAATTACTAAAGACAGAGCATGTTCGAATAAATGTAGATGAATGAAAATAATAAGAAAATGATGTAATAATTCTCAATGATGATGATGATGATGATAATGATGATCGAAGAAACATATTCAAATTTATTCTACAAGAATTTATTTTATTTTTATTATTAAAATAAAATCCCAATAAAAATGATTATATATTTATTAAAGAATAAATAATTATTAAAAGAAAATTTCTAATATAAAAATGTTAAATATATAAAAAATTAGGATAAAATGAGATTCTGTTTACTAAAATCTAATCATATGATTGAGTAATTTGAAATTCAACAGGCATATAGATTCGTTGCCAAACAGTAACTTTTGTATCATCACCATCAATCAATTCTGTTCTCACATGAACAGAACCATTTTCATCATCACACATTAATTCAGCATCAGTCCATTTACCTTTGAGCACCATCCACATTGGTGTATTGAGTGTAAAATCAGTTGTTGCAATACTAGCTCTAATTGTACCTGGACTACGACCACGTACCATTGACATACATGGTTGTCCAAATGATCGAACAAGACCAGTATTAACTTCCAAACGATCTTTTGAATAACATGTATAACATGTTGTATCAGTAGCTCGATCATAAAAAATATGTGTATCTTCACTTTTTGATAAAATAAGTGAAGGTGGTATATCACTTAAGTCTGTTGATGACCAAGGATCTCTTGATGAATGTGAAAATTCTTCTACCCATTCATTTAAATGTTCATGTCCAATAAGAATTGTATAAACAAATGAAGCTGTACCATCATCAACATTTAAATGTTCAATATATCCAAGACCGAATTTATCTTTTGTCGTTTTAAAATATTTTTCATTATCTTCATATTTCGGTTCTCGGAAACGTTTTGTTTTTATATCAATTATTGGATTTTGTTTTGGATCAATTAAATAATATTGATTACAATAAATCATTTCTTGTTCAGTACGTTTTAATGTAATACGATATGATTGATTGGAATTTTCATTTGGATGTAAATAATATGTTATATTTCGATGATCAGTTATGGAATCTAAACCATTAGTTTCAAAGATTTTTTCATATGGAAATTCACTTATTTTTTCTTCATTATTTAATATAAATGCTGTTTGTTCAAAATTTTCTAAATTAGAAAAATTTGATTGAAATAATGTTGTTATCACAGGTCGTTTTGCTCGTTGTAATAATTTTATATTTGATGTTAAAACCGTAATACGATTATCAAAACAATAAACTGAACGACGAAAAGCAACATCCCAAACAAAGAAATCATTACTAAACATTCCATCTTGGCCTGATATTGATGTACCACCAGCTAACCAATTTTTTGCTGTTAAATTACAATAACCTTCAAATAATTCTGAACGTGGCTTAAGTAAACATGTTGTGCCAGGCCTATACAATTCATTCGAGAATTAAAATAAGAGATATTTTATAACATATTTCAAACTAACCAATGTGACCATTGCCAACCTGGATATCCACAACCAGCATTTGAATATTCGATTACACCATGTTCATCAGCTGGTACAATAAATATAGAACAATTACGAACATATTCACCATAATTATTTGAATCTTCTAACCAACCTAGATGAAAAAAAAAGTTTTGTTCATAGCAACTTAATCAAAAATTTGTCTATTGTACCATATATTTCAAGACCACGTCGATTTTTACCCATACCAACGATACTAGCATAAAAATTTGAACGTCGATGGACACAAGCAGCTGTTGAATTGAGAGTGACATGACCTTCGAGTTCAACTGGTTCGATACCACTAAATAATTAAACAAAAAAACAAATGACTTGAGACATTTAAAAGTTAGAAGTATAAATCACGCAGAAAAAAAATTGAATTTCCTAAGGTGCGCATGAGAAGTGGTAGTGTTGTCCTTCTTTTACAAAACAGTATTCGACCTTTCTCAATAGAAACAAATAGTAAAAAAACATATTTTGATGATGACCTTCTCCAACAAAGTATTCTTTCTTCACTGAAATCTTAGACTCATGACTCGAGATAGATTATACGATGTTCCATTCACTTAATGATATCTGATATGTAATATAACTCACTCTAATATTTATACAGTACACCAAATAAATTAATATTTAAAATGAATACAGATATAAAACAAATCTATCTACTACTTACTCATTAATATATGTCATAACACTTTTATCATTTTTTGGACACATAGTCACAAGCAATCCAGCAAAAAATGGATCATAAGATTGATCTTGATTACAAATACACACGCATTTTTTAGTCAAATTAAGACCATTACATGTAACAAAATCTCCTATAATAGAAAGTTAATTATATTAATTTTTTTTCCCATTTCGAAAATATTATTTTCTTACCAGCTCGAGCATTGAGATTTGGTGGTATTTTTT